CCCCCTCTTTATAGGCTGGCCTTGGCCCACAGCCTGCTCAGTTTGCCCAGGGGAAGCTCACACTCACCCCTGGGATCAGGGGTCTCTGTCCCTGCCCCAGAAAGGTAGCCCAGCCAAGCCTAATCAGGAGTGCCACATGTCCATGCACCTGGAACAAAACTTTGTGTTTTGTGATCTTTAAAATTATTGTTAATGTCTACTTTCATTCCAAATTAGAACCAGTGCTCAGATCACTGATGTCTCCCTGTTGGACAGCCCAAAATACCCAAAGGGACCCTAAATTTCTAAGCCTTCTCTATTTGCCTTGACAAATCTCAGCCAAAGAAATAATCACAGCAGTTATGGGATGACAGGAGTAATTTGAGATGGTGGAATACTGCTTGCACCAATGGAGCCTGCCATCTTTGGTCAGATGTAGCTAGCAGTGTCATTCCACAAATCAAGATTTGAAATCTTTTAATGTCTCTCCATGTCTGTATCTCTCCTTGGACATGTGGGATGCTCCACTGTGTTAAAACCTACAGTGCACAGGCCCCAGAGATATGTAAAGATTTTGAGAGAATTGCACCCCCAGAATACCTCAGAAGTAGGTGTATACAGCTTACATATGAGTTTGCTGTTACAGGATTGCAAAGTCTTTAATCAGCTTCCTCGTTGTCTGAAACTAGCACCCAGGACTGAGATCACTTTTGTGATTTTAGTGCAGAGCATCTGATTATTTGCAGGCAAGATGATAATATTCTTATGCAGTTTTTATCCCACTCTTCCTCAAAACACCACCACTAAGTGCCCTTTGTATCCTCCAAAGCAGGCTGAGCTTTGCAGGGCCAGGCACAAGCCCAGCAGCAGCCTGATGAACCCCTCAGCTCAGTCTCAAATGTACATAAGTCTGTGCTCCATTTTTCCACTGGTTCCTGCCAGATCCTGGCTTGTACCGAAGAGAAAGTAGGAGCACAGCATAAATTAGGGAGATGTGACAAAAGAGAAAAGGAGCCTGGGATGATAATAACAGAGAAAGAAATCCTGGGAGCAGCAGTGGGAGCTGTAGAAATGAAGGAGCACAGAGCCTGGAAAAGATATAGGTGGGATGTGGGGGAAAAGGATGTAACACGGGTAATAGGGAGCTTCGCAGGCCCTTTCAGTATATAATCAATACTAATGCAGAGTTTGAAGCAGAGTCAGTATTATTGCTCAGATAAACTGCATCATGATGTCCAGTAAGAGAGTCTGATATTCCTCAATCAGAATTAGTGTAATTCAGATATTTTTTATTCTTACAAACCATCTCTTCATTAATAAGCCTTGTTCTAAAGATGTTCTAGAAGTAGGTCTGCAAACCACTTTCACTAAGGTAAGGATTTTGCATTTTGGATGATGTTTTCTGTTCCCTAAAACCCCTTCTGTCAGAAATTTGATAAATTCCTGGAATTTTCTGTATTGCCAGAATGCTGGGGCAAGGCCCAGGAAAATAAATTGTGTTCCAGTTATATGGAAGTGTATTTTGCTGCTG